CTCTCCCTTCTCTCTAGCTTTCGATCTGGTTTTCGTTTGCCTCTCCGGCATGCCCTTCCGGCGCCGGAGAGGGCTTCTCTCTCCTTAGCTTAGTTGTTCCTTCTGCAGCCGTTCCTCTCCTCTATGGTTGGGCTGTTGGTTTTCCGGTTTGGACTCTCTCTTGTTGGTGGTGAGTTTCGCCGGCGCATGGCGAGTTGAGTCGCTTGTGGGGGGTCTCCGGTGACGGATTGGTGATGCTGCTTCTGCACGGCATCGATCCCGTGGCTAAATCCGGCGGATCTGGGTTGGCGATTTCTTCTCGCGCTGGTTGTTCTCTGGTGGTTTGATGGCTCTGGTGAGTTTGGGATCTGGGCGCGTCTCCTTGGTGATGCTCCAGTGGTCGGCTTCTGGTGAGACGTCACCGGTCTGCTGGTCGTTTCCCTTCAAGCCGGTTGCTTTGCCTTGCTTCTCGGAGTCTGGTTCGTGTGGCAGGGGGCAGGAGTGGTTCTTCATCGTCGATGGCTGGGGCATGCGGATCAATTGGTTGGTGACGGTTTTGGGTCTCCAGCGGTGATGTGGTGGGGTTGGTCTGTCTCCGATGCTGGTTGTGGCGATCTTCCCGACGACCTCGAGTCTTCTTCTAGTCATACCACCTCTGGTTTGAGGACGCCGGAGGAGGGGACATGAGGAAGCTCACGGCTCTGTTGTCGGAGGTGCTGCTACGTCTAGCGGCGGAAGTCGAAGGCGGATTGGTGGGAGTCACTGCTTGTCGAGATGATTAGCGGCAGATCCTTCGGATCTGGGATGGCTAGATGTGGAGAACGGCGGTTGGGAGTTTGTTTGAGCCAACGACTCTAATCGTTGCCGCATTTGGTTTTCGTCTGACCGGATTGATCTTTGACTGTCACAGAGGAAGCTTGTGTCGGGGACGGCGCCGGAGGTGAGGGTTCGTTCTTGGTTTCTGGTTGCTAGGTCGGGACCAGATTAAGCGGGTCGGTCGTCTATGGCTATTATCTTTTCTGGGAGGGGAGTTTCAGGTCGGCTCCGTCGTTGACTTCGGGTTTGTGGCGGGAATCGATAACTCCGGCCATGTCGCTTGAGTCACTGCGGAGTAGTAAGGAAGGGCCTCTTGTTATCGCCGGAGCTTGGAGGTGGTGCCGGTGCTGCCGAATTCCACCCGGGGCAGATCTCCGATTTGGTGCTGTTTTGGTTTAGCTTCTTCCTTTTGGGCCGATTGGCCCGTGTAAATCCCACCATCGTTAAGCCCATTTGGGATAATTAATATAATCAGAAAAAAAAAAAAAAAAAAAAAAAAAAAACATTCTTCACATTTGTGAAACTTTGGGTGAGTTTCTCAGCTTCCTTAATTTATAGAACCACATGTTAACGGACCATAACATGTTTCCTCTACAGAATCGGCAACAAAATACTCTGACAAATGCTGTGAAGAGATTGTGGCAGCTGGAGCTATAGACAAGTTGCTAACATTGATCCGGTCTGCAAGCAGAAGCATCCCTGACCAACAAGTTTCAAAACATGCATTATCAACTTTGGGACACCTTGCTCGTTATCCACATATGGCAGATGAGCTAATCGACACGAAAGGTTCCATTCAGACAATCTTCTGGGAACTACTCAGGTCTTCATTTAGTTCTCAAGTCTTCTCTTCAAGATTAAAGTTTCATCTATTCTCACCTTTGCGTTGCTTTGTTCTCCTTTTCAGGAACAAAGAAGAAGCATATTTCATTGCATCAGATGTTCTGAAGAAGATATGCAGTAGCCATAAAGGCGTAGAAGCAGTTCGAAAGCTTCCTGCACTGGTAAAACGGTTACACGCCTTAGTTGAGGAGCTAACTCGTAAGGCAAACATCGAGAAACGGTTAGTTTATTTTTTCCCGTTTTATTGTCTGAATTGATGTGAATGTTTACTCTGTTATCCTGAACCTAAAACTCTATCTAGAAACTTTGGGTTAGATCCAAATAACAAAGTATGAATCAAACGTGTCCTAATCTAAACCTAATCTAAAGATATTGTGTACGATTTCAGGAACGTTAAGGGTCAGACTGGAAAAGAAAAGAGTGAGAGAAGATTAAAAGAAGCTATTGAGCTTCTAAAGCTTATAACTAGAAGATGATTTAGGTTGTTTTGTATCAGACTCGCTTGTGTTTGTGTGTTTTGCGTTGTTTGAAGTGCATTGATCAGTGCACTGCACAACCACAACTTTTCTCCGTTTAGATTCTGTAGTTTTACTTTTAGCTTAATCAAGAAACCTTGCAGATTTCAGAACATGCCATGACAGCTTCTTCAGCATCATTTATTTTGTCTAGGTCTATTATCAAAGAGTCTTGATCGTGTTTTATATGACTATCACATAAATCGGATTCAGAAAATTCATGTCGTCAAAAAGAAGAAAATGTGATTCCACTAGTTTACAACATCACAGGATAAACCAACTTTGTTGTTGTCTGCTTCACGACCAACTTTCAGAGTCTTAAGACATTCCAACTTGCCCAAGAAATGTCTCATCTGTCTCAGCTCCTGAAAAGAAATCTCTAGCACCTTCACTTGACATGTCGATAAACAACATGCGTCCTTTTTTTTTTTTGAATATCTGGAAGTTCAAGCCCGAAAGCCCTACATCTCCCAAAGGCGGGACCCACACCATGTTAAATTCATCTCATTTGGAGAAGAGATCCCTCCCAACGGGCGTCAAACCCAGTACCTCCTAATGCGTCCTTCTTCACAATCTTTCTCTTCTTTTTTTTTTTTGCAACGGGTTCTTAGAGATGCAAGCTCATGCATCTCCGCATTTATTTGTTACTCTGTGAACAAGACCCTGGAAAGCAGAAGCAGACAACAATCTTGGCATGTAATATAATACTGGCAACAACAAATAAATAAGAATCTCAATAAGAAATTGATATACCTTGATGGCTAAAGCAGAAATGACCCGAGTTACTTTTTATCTTCTGCCCTTCACTTTCAGTAATAATAATTAGCTTTCTTTTTAGCTAACATTTTCAAGTCACAGTGGAGAGGTTATCTCACACGAAAAGCCTCAAAGGCTCAAGTTCTTGATCTGAGAGTACGAATGCAAACTTCTGCAGCAAACATAGATGATCAGTTCAGTTGTTTTTTTTTCAGACTCGCTTGTGTTTGTGTGTTTTGTGAAACAAGTGCATTGATCAGTTCACTGTCACAACTCTTCTCTGTTTAGATTCAACATCATTTCTTTTGTTTATGTCTATTATCAAAGAGTCTTGATCGTGTTTTATATGACTTTCACATGAATCGGATTCAGAAGATTCATGTCGTCAGAAAAGAAGAAAATGTGATTCCCCTAGTTTACAACATCACAGGAAAAAACACAAACAAACTGCTACAAGACCAACTTTCACAGTTTTAAGAAATTCCAAACTTGCCTAAGAAATATGTCTCAGCTCTTGAACAGAATCGACTTTGGCTTTCTAGTGAGAGGTCGCTCGTTCGAGCCTCCTAGAGTGAGACAATAGAGGCTGCTATCTTCTTTGTATTGGAAGAGGTAGAGGTTCCATGGAAGTTTTGAAATTTTCAGCTTAAAAGTTGTGAGTTTCACCTCTTCCACGGAACCCTTTAGCTTCAACATCCTCACTGGCTGGGCTTTCCATTTGATGTCCTCATTCTGAAATGTTTTGTACATTTTGGGAGGTGGATGAAAGAAGATCCAGACGCAAGGTGTGATACGAGTTTGGAAGACATCTTGAATCCACGGAGCTATGTTGAAGATCTCTTCAACATGAAGAAAAGGAACTCCCACATCCAAACCAGATTCTAGGTGGAAGAGAGCAACAACACACGTTGCCTCCAAATCAGTAAGATCATTAAAACCACCAAAGCAGAGCCTGCTTTGGTGCGAAAATGATGCAGCCAACTCCTTGTGCAATCAGCATATCTCGAAGACTACACCTTTCCTTATAGAGCCAAGGAGTTCGGTTTTGAGAAGGGAATACCTAAAAAAAAAAAAAAGACAATTATTTGTGTTGTATTTGGACTCTAACACTAGACAAATAAAACTCGTTTGCACAAAATTTGTTCTAAAACTGACATTCATAAATTTACTATGATGATTAGTAATCTCAATCTTTGTAAACTATATATATTAATAGTCTCTTATATTATTTAAGTGAAAAATAATTAGAGCGTCTAAAACTATTTACTATTGTTTGGACAATTTGAAAACAACATAGCACTACAAAATGTGTAATGAAGTAAAAAAAATTTGAGAAATAATGTAACGATATAAGAAAAGACAAACAACATTAGAATCATATATCAATCTTTTTTTTACAGATATATATCAATAAGTGATCTTAACTATTTGTATAAATTTAAAAATTATGTATTTATGCTATTAGTAGAAACCATATATTTTATACAACTTTTTATTATTGTATCGAGTATCTTAATTTTTATAAAGGCGGAATCCAAAATTTTAAAAAAAAATTATGGTAATTTATAATGTTAAATAATTCATGGAAGCTTTTTACTTTATTGTGTTTTAATGATTTCCTAGCTTTTTGGACCCCTTATTCCATTGGTAAATCAAGAAAACATTGATTGTCTTCTACTAGCTTTGATAATTGATAGATTGGGTTGGGACCAAAGCTATCAAGACTCTAGAAAAGTTTTCAGGCCCAGACTTTTATAAAAAACATTCACAGCCCACAAAAGATACGTAAACCCTAAATAATAATTTTTCTAATCCGCCATCGTTAGATTGTCCTAATTAAGATACCAATTCCATTCATTAATTTGTACATTCTCCAAACCTTTACATCTGTTAGTGAGTAGGAGAGCTTCTTTAGCATCATTCATTGCCTATCTCTATTATTGTCACAGTATCGTGATTCGTGATAGATATGATTTCTTCGTCTATGTCTATTGTCACCGCTTCTTAAGTAAAAATGATGTAATATGTCAGCTTCGAACAGACAAAAAAAGTATATATAGTAACCAAATTTTTTAATTTTTTGAAACAAAATATTAACCAAAGTTTATTAAGATATACTTATAGAGTGTACATCAAACGAAGAGGAATCAATATGATTTATTGGAAAGTGGAGAAAAAACACACACATAGGAATCTCATAATATTACGCGAGTATAGGAATGTAACCTAGCAAGGTCACACGGATAATAAAGATTCTTGATTACATGAGATAAATTGGTCCGATCAATGCTGATTATTGGGAGGAATTAGTAGAAGCAAATTTGAGAGAGACACTGTTAACGCAGTGACGTTGATCGGTAGGAGTAGAGTAACCTTCTCCTTTGAAAACATGGCCTAAATGTCCATCACACACTGCACATGTTATCTCCATTCTTCTTCCACCTGCTTCTGGCTGTATATATACATTCATAAACAAAACATCAAATTAGTTATATAAATGATGTATTATATGAATTTAAAAGGGTTTGGCGGATTGGCTAAAAATTATAGAGAAGAGTCAATTAATTACAGTTTGTTTAATAGCACCGGGGATGGCGTCGAAGAAAGCCGGCCAACCGCAACCGGAGTCGAACTTAGTGGTTGATTTATAAAGAGCAGTTCCACAACCAGCACAACTATAAGTCCCTTCCTCGAACTTCTTTGTATACTCTCCTTTGCCTCGTTTACTAAATCACCAAATTAACCATAACAACATGCTCAGGTAACTTACCACACAAGTAAACCGAAAAAAAAAAACCTAGAGGACTTACTCTGTGCCTTTTAATCTGAGAACCCTAAACTGCTCAGGAGAAAGAACCGCACGCCACTCCTCTTCTTGTTTCTGGAAAGATCTAGTTGCTGGAATTGCTGCCGTGGTCATTGCTGCCATGACGAGAAAAGGATTTGTTTATGTAATGAGGCTTGAGAGATCGAGAGGAAAAAAATTAGCTTTTGTTTGAAGTTTTGTTACTAGTCAAAGATTTGGTTTAATTGTGATTCAACATGAAAATGGGTTCGGGTATTAATATATAGGCTTAGACAAGAATATTTCTTAAGGAGCTCAGGAGAATCTTCCAAAGAAACTATATATACTAAACAAATAATAATAATAATTTAGGTAACAGCTAATTAACGCGATAGATCTAGATTTAAAATATTTAAATTGAGGTTGTATAATATTTAATTTGACTGTGTTTAAGTATATGTAATAGTATTCATTTGATCACGTTGCGAATACATTGTTTTCCATTTTATTGTATTATTGGTCAGTGGTCACGTTTTTTCCCTCTTAAAATTCTGGCTCCTTGGAACATCTTAAAATATTAAGTTAAGTGCATTTAATTTTTTTTTTCCATGAGATTACGTAAAACATTGTCTTATCTCTCTCCTTGATAAAACCAAACAAAAAAAAAAACTAGACTTGTGAAAAATATTTCAAAGCAACTTCGATGTAGAAGAAAAAAATTTGATAGTTTTTTTTCTTTTTTTGATAAAACTTGGAAGTTCTCTAGTTAAACACACAATTAAAATTTATTGTCTGTATTGGCAAAGGAAATTTAAACCTAAATATGCATTAAGTTTTGTAAAGCTTTTACTAACTGGTTAAATTTAAGGATTACGAATGTGTTATGTTTTCTTCATTAATTTCTAAGCAAAATAAAAAATAAAGGTAAAGATTACTGCGCAATTGGTCCATGGGCTTGACCAAACAACACGGCCTTACCACACAGTTAGACTCAGACAAGTTGAACAAAAGCGTAATCAACCTGAATACATGTTTAAAAGCTTTCGTACATATTAAAAAAAAAAAGAATATATATTTTTTTGAAAAAAAGATTATATGTGCAATACTATATGTGTGTATATATATTATGTAACTATAAATAAAAATTAAGATATTTTGAGTTCAACTAGGTCTAAATAGCATAATTCAAACTCGCATATTACATGTTGTTAAAAAAACATCTAAAATTCGTTTAAAATTATCTATTATGATACGTACTCCTAATCATTTTCCATCTGAATCCAACTATCCAAGGCAATTTCCAGTTTAAATTGGAGATTGGTAAATTGAACTAAACCGAAGTTATACGTTCTTGTATGAGGACCATTTGAACATTTATGTGAAAGTTTCACAATTATTTCACGTAGAAATTATCCGAATGAATTTAGATAAGACATGTGATACATGGGTTCGATTTGTTTTGGACAAGATTTAGTCGTTTTCATAGATCTGTAAAGTGGTGAAAGAATAATAGGCACACACATGGGGATATATGCGTTTGGAAAACTGCAGGCTGCTCTCATGGATGAGTGGAGAAGATGTTGTCATCATGAAGGATTGGAACACCAATATCCAAACGGCTTACTCTGTTGAGAGAAGCCACCAAAGTAGTGATATGGACGGGCTTGTTAATGCGAAAAAAAAGACAGCGATTTGTATGGTTAAGCAATTCAAAAACTTTTGAGTATTTTGAAAAGAAGATGGTTAATTATTCATTATTTGTATTAACTACATCCAAATAACTAGCAAGTCTACTATTTAAATGATGTCAGTTATTTGTATTCGGATTAAAAGTTGCATTAAATTAATAGATTCAACAGAAGTGTTGACAAAAAAAAGGATTAAGCAGAAGACCAATGATTCAATATATAAATGTATTCAATATTCATTTTTGAGATTATGAAACAACTGCCTTTGTTAGAATTAATTTCATATAATCACTGAAAAAACTTGCCAAATGTTGACTTGAGAGTTGTGCCTAATTTCTTGGATTCGTTGTATGTTCTGACGGGAAACACGTTGATCGAACGTCGGGTCATATAACAGATCTGAGAAAAACTCATTTAGTCATTTTATATATGTTGGATACTTAACGTTAGGTTTAGGTATATGCTCATTTGTCCTTATTTAAACCATTGTCGTTATTTTCTCATTGTCCATGAACAAAGAAACCAACAAAAATATATATATAAGAACTCCCAAAATCGATTATAATAAAATCTGACAGCTTCTTCTACATCATTTTATTGCCTACGTCTATTATCCCAGCTTCTTGATTCGTGTTAGATCTTTTCGTCTGTGTCTATTGTCAAAAATTCTTAAGTAAAAGATGTTGTAATTCATATGTGGCTTCTAATAGACAAAAAGGAACAAAAAATAGAAGTTTTATTTAGAGTAACCAAAGTTTATTATAACTATAGAGCGTACATTGACTGAACGAAGATTTATTATAGTATTACATGAGTAGGAATATGTAAACTAGCAAGCATCTCACAGATCATAGAACATAATTCTTTGATTACATGACATAAATTGGTCCGATCAATGATGATTAGTGGGAGGAATCAGCAGGAGCGAATTTGAGAGAGACACTGTTAACGCAGTGACGCTGATCAGTTGGAGTAGAGTAACCTTCTCCTTTGAAAACATGGCCTAGATGTCCATCACACACTGCACATGTTATCTCCATTCTTCTTCCACCTGCTTCTGGCTGTATATATACATTCATAAACAAAACATCAAATTCGTTATTTTAATTATTTACGTATAATATATATGAATTCAAATGGTTTTGGCGGATTGGCTAAAAACCATAGAGAAGAGTCAATTAATTACAGTTTGTTTAGTAGCACCGGGGATGGCGTCGAAGAAAGCCGGCCAGCCGCAACCGGAGTCGAACTTAGTGGTTGATTTATAAAGAGCAGTTCCACAACCAGCACAACTATAAGTCCCTTCCTCGAACTTCTTTGTATACTCTCCTTTGCCTCGTTTACTAAATCACCAAATTAACCATTACAACATGTTCAGGTAACTTACCACACAAGTAAACCGAAAAAAAAAACCTAGAGGACTTACTCTGTGCCTTTTAGTCTGAGAACCCTAAACTGCTCAGGAGACAAAACCGCACGCCACTCCTCGTCTTGTTTCTGGAAAGATCCCGTTGCTGGAACTGCTGCTGTGGTCATTACTGCCATGACGAGAATAGGATTTGTTGATGTAATGATGCTTGAGAGATCGAAGAGGAAGTGATTATATAGCTTTTGTTTGAAGTTTAATTGTGATTCAACGTGAAAATGGGTTGGGGTATAAATAAGCTTAGACAAGAATATTTCTTAAAGAGCTCGGGAGAATGATCTTCCAAAGAAACTATGCTAAACAAATAATAATAATAATTTAGGTAACAGCAAACGCAATGAGGTAGTGTTTGTGGACTTTTGACTGTGTTTATAATATATTTCATTGTATCACGATGCGAATACATTTTTTTCCATTTTATTATTTTAGCGGTCACGTTGTTTCCGTTTGGTCGTTGAAATTTCAAAGTCTTTCGTTGACAGAAAAAAAGATTAAAGTTATAAGACCCTCTATGTTCATGAGATTATGAAAACATTGATTTTTCTCTCCATGATTAAAATCTTTATAGACTTTGAAATACTCCAAAGCAACTTCGCGACCGATCGTTCTATTAAAAAAAAAGTTTGATATTTAAATTACAAATTTAAATTCTGACTCGCTGAAATTTACAAGTCTTTGTTGAACATATTAAAAAAAAAGGAAAGCAGTAGTTTCTTCTCTCCATGATTAAAAAAATATAGACTTTGCAAATATTCCAAAACACTTCGTCTTATAAGAAAACAGAAATAGATATATAACTAAAACACAAATTAAATTTTATTGTTTGTGTTGGCAAATAAACTTTAACCTATATATATGGTCCGACTGGTAATACAAAACGGTATTTATATTTTTAGCGAGTAGAAAAAACTAAGTGATATCATAATAGTTCAAACAGTATTATATAGTTGTAAAATATAATAGTATGAAAATGTCGAAAATAACATTTTTAATGATGTTTTTAATATAGTTTTTGTGATTAGTATTTGTTAAAAAAGTATATTATATTCCATATTGTCAATCAAATCTATACGCAATTAGTATTATAAGTTTTTTTTTTATGTCAACTTAAACATCAAACTAGCGGAGAAGACCCTGCCTGGTCAGTATATTGTAAGTTTTTTTTTACTAACTTGTTAAATTTAAAGATTATCGAATGCGTTTATTTTTCTGTAAATATTTGTTAATTTAACCGGGCCTTGTGGCCTAGTGGTAAAGGGGTCACAGCTGTGACTTTCGCCATTAGGGTTTGAGACACGGCCACTGGCAGGTTTACATAGGGGAATTGCCAGCCTCGTGAGATTAGTCTTTGGGCCTAAAAAGCCTTTGGGAGACTCGCGGTTATTAAAAAAAAATATATATTTGTTAATTTATAAACAAATAAATGTATCTCGTTATACTTGGTCCACGGGCTGGAATGGATGACCAATCACGTCCCCACCAAAGTAAGACTCAGACAAGTTGAGCAAAGCATAATAAATACTCTACTTGATTAACACGTTTAAAAGCTTTTGTAATTTATTGACAAAAAAAGAAAATGTACTCAGTATGTGTGCATTAGGCTAGTGTGTATATACATGTTAATATGTTATGCAATTACAAATAAACATACAAATCTATAGAATTCAACTAAGACATATAATTTTATTCTAGTGGTATAGCTGGTAACAACACCCAAATTCAAATTCGTATTTTAATGTTTTATTCGATGAAAATTTATTTATTATGATGCTCCTAATATTTTTTCCATCTGAGTATCTAAGTCAATTTAATGTTTAAAATTGGACTGGTAAGTTGAACTAGACCGGAGTTGTAAGTCTTTGTATGAGGACTATTTCAGCCTTTATGTGAAGTTTCACAATTATTTCACGCAGAAAAGTATAACAATGAATTTAGACAAGACATGTGAATATACATGAATGAGTTTGGTGTTGGAAATCTTTGAATTGGGTGGGTGAAAGAAAAACTACACATTAATGGTAAATTACTTAGGCCATGATTCCAAAAACTCTAGCTCTACGCCGTGAAATTTCCAAGACATTTCGCCTAAAAGTATATTGGCAGCGAAGGAAAATCCCTTTACTAGAATATTGGCATATGCCCCCACAAACGCATTTACCTACTAATTATTCCTAAAACGGTCGATATGTCGCAAGTCGCAACATAGAGTTCAAGGAGAGTAGTCGGAGGAGGGCACATAACGTGACTTCCCCGGAGGTATCGAGGAAGAGGTTCGATAAAGAGTACGTAGCCGATCCTTTATAGTACGATCAATCAAGGGTCCGAGCCGGTGAGATGGAGCCGTACGCGTGTGTATATTGGTATCATATTCATATGTGAGATGGACTAATTTATGGTTTTTCTTGTTGGTATCCCAAATTATATTTTTACTTTTTGATTAGGTTATGTAAAAGAAAACGTTTAGTCTAATGATAATTCGAAACGTATTGCTTTAATTCAAATAGAATAATATTCATTGAAGAGATTGGTTGGTATATAGACCCACAAATTAATGTACGTATCTGTTAAACTCTTACTAGTTAGCCAATATATTAATAAGTGTAATCTGTTGGCTTCGAAAAGAAAAAAATAATAACTATAAATTTGGAAATTTCATAATAACCAGATAGGGACATACATTGAACAAATAGTTGGATAATAAATTGGAAAGTGAAAACAACATCACACACACACATGAATAATAGTATCACATACACATATGAGTAGGAATGTAACATAGCAAGCTCACACGGATCAAAGAATATTGATTCCGTGATCTTGAGAGAGATATATGAAGTCGTCCGATCAATAATAGAGTCTCAAACAATTATTTGGAGGAATCTGTAGAAGAGAATTTGAGAGAGACACTGTTAACGCAATGACGCTCGTCCGTAGGATTTGGGAAACCTTCTCCTTTGAGAACATGTCCAAGATGTCCATCACATACTGCACATGTGATCTCCAGTCTATTCTTACCTTCTTCTGGCTAAATACATAAACAAAACATAACACAAAAATTATTTAGATAACAATCTTCTTATATGGTTTTGGCAAAAAAAAATATACAAATGAGATAGAGTGTGTTAATAATTACAGTTTGGTTAATAGCACCGGGAATGGCGTCGAAGAATGATGGCCAGCCGCAACCGGAATCAAACTTTGTGGTGGATTTGTAAACAGCAGTACCACAACCAGAACAACAGTAAGTCCCTTCCTCGAACAATTTGGTATACTCTCCAGTGCCTCGTTGCCTAAATCACAAATAACATTACAACATTATAAAAAAATTTTACTATGCAAGTAAACCATATATAGTAGAAATAGGAAAAGACATAAAAGGCTTATTACTCTATTCCTTTTTGTCTGAGAATCCTAAACTGCTCAGGAGACAGAATCGCACGCCACTCCTCGTCTTGTTTCTGGAAAGATTTAGTAGGTGGAGCTGCTGCTGTCGCGGTCATTGCCATGGCAATAAATGGATCTGTTTGAGAGATCGAAGAGGAAGTGATTAGCTTGTGTTTTAAGTTTTGTGATTCAACATATAGAATGAATAGGGGTATATATAGACGTTAAGATTCGAAACTAGACAAATTTGGTAACAGCGCTAAGATAAGAGGGGGAGAGAGAGAGGTGGTAGTTGTGGACTTTTGTTTATTTTTGGTAAGAAGGTAGTTGTGGACTTTTTTGGCTTTTGCTGTGGTTATTATGTATGAAATTATTTTATTGGTCACGTTTTAGTATTTCCATCTTATAAAATATAATATGATATTATATAAATAAATCTTGACATACCGAATTTATGATTGTATCCTATATCATAAATTAAAATATCTACTTTTTCATTATTATAAAAAATATATATAATATAGTAATATGCAGATCAATATAATGTCAATTTTAACATTGGGCTAAGTTTTAAGTATATTGCAAGATCACTATTGGTCTCTATATATAGAAAAAAAAAATGACATTGAAACTATTCCAAAGCAACTTCGTTCAATTCTAGAAGAAAAAAAAGGTTCAATTATTAACCTATTGTTGGTAAACGAAAGGTTAACTTCGTTTGTGGACTCTAGTGTAATTTCCCGCCATTACTAAAAAAAAAAAAAATTGGAATTTTTTTTGGAATTTTTTGGAATTTTTGGAATTTTTTTGGAATTTTTGGAATTTTTTGGAATTTTTGGAATTTTTTGGATTTTTTTTTTCTTAACGTTTTTTTTATTGTTTTTTTTTGTTGCTCGCACAATGAAGAGAAGAGTTGCAGAATTTTCTTTATATAGGCATTTTCACAGTGACTAAATAACGACTACAAGCCGTAGTCGCCATAAAAGTAGATACACCTACCACCCAACGAAAAAAACGTGCGTAACTAACTGTTATTTACGACTAATTAGCGACTACCTTACGACCCGCCGAATGAGTCACTAATTAGTCGCTAATTTGGCGACTAAACATCTCGGTCGTATACGTAGTCGCTACTTTGGCAACTATTTTGCGACACCAACATATAATTAACAACTTAGTCGCCTAATAGTCATTGTTTAACGACTAATAGTACGACTATTGATTTTGGTCGGTTTTTAACGACTAATGGACGACTATATAAGTTTAGTCGTACAATAGTCGTAAATCAGTGACCATACAGTCGCTAAAAATGACGACTATATTCATGGTCGCCTAAGTTAGTCGGTATCTGCCTGTTTTCTTGTAGTATATATATATATATATAATTTTAACTTCCATTAATGGAAATAAAAATGTAGTCCAAATCGCTCTTACTATTGATCCATTATCCATAGGCACCATTGCTACCAAATTATCCCTACCAGAGTAAAGACTCCCACAAGTTGGGCAAAGCGTAACTAAACACTATCCGTTTTTTATATGTTTTCAAATTTGTACGTATTAATTAAAAAATAAAAATTGTTTGAATTTTTTAGCGAAGTGGTGATGCCTTTTTTTTAGCGTAACTTCTTGATTCTAGTCATATAATTTTTTTAATTTTTTTTTTAATCATAGTCATTAGTTGTATTTTTTATGCTATGATTTTGATCGGTACGTAATCAAATTTTATGCAAGTTCTGATTTTCTCAAAATTTAAAGGGTTTGACGATTATTTTTTCCCCTTTTTGTTTCATTTTTTGTTTCATTTTTGTGAATTCCTAATTCAAATGGAAAATTAAACCTGCAACCTAATTGGCAATAAAAGAAACTCCCTTTAAAAAATGGGCATAAACTATATATACTACCTAGCTACTGATTAAACATTTAAATAAAGATATGAGAAAACAAAAGCCAAATCTTATTATATATAGGACTTGCATTGAACATATCAAGGGTCAATGGAAAGATACAAATAATATAATTATTAAAAAGAAATTCATACAAGAGGGACAAACAACAATCAGGGGAGCGAGCATATCACACATGACTAGGAATGAAACATAACAATCTCAAACAATCAGACTTGATTTTCAAATTTTCTTGAAAGAGAGGAATTGGTCCAACAATATATAGTGGTCATCAATATGGACTTATTGGGAAGAAATTTCGGAGAACTTGAGAGAAACACTGTTGACGCAGTGACGCTCATCGGTCGCTGTGGGAAAACCTTCTCCTTTGACAACATGACCTAAATGTCCATCACATGCCGCGCACGTGATCTCCATTCTTCTCCCTCCTGCCTCGGGCTGATAGAGATATTTTATAAACATAAAACTTGTTTAATCCACAATCTTTATTACTAAGTCTAAAATAATTGTGTGTCATAAAAGAAAAATATCATGTCAATAATTACCGTTTGTTTAATGGCACCAGGGATAGCATCGAAGAAGGAAGGCCATCCACAACCAGAGTCAAACTTAGTGGTGGACTTATAAAGAGGAGTTGCACAACCAGCACAACTATAGATTCCATCGTCGAAAAGTTTGGTATACTCTCCTTTGCCTCGGTTTCTATACCAAAACCATTACAAAAATCAGGAGGACTATCTTAAAGTAAGTTCATTTGGTAAGTACTGGCTAAATCTTGGACTAATACCGAGATGCAAATGAAATTATAACTTAAGAAGTTAAATGTTTAAAGAGTTTTCTTACTCTGTGCCCTTTTCCCTGAGAACTCTAAATTGCTCGGGAGACAAAATCGCACGCCAGTCTTGATCTTTTTTCTGGACAGATCCAGTTGATGGAGCCACTGATGTTGCTGGTGTAGGCATGATTACGGTAGATAAAAAGGCTAAGAAGGCAGTGGAGAGATGGTCGTGTGTTTTTGAGCTCTTTTAAGAAAATAAAAGAAGAATTGATTTTGTGAGTGAGTAGAACTACTAAGGAGTGGGTATATATACGCATAGACAAATCATATTTTATTTTATTTTCGTCTAAAATGTGACAATAAGAAACTTCCTAACAACTGAGAAACCATAATAATAATAATAAAATAAGGTTACAATTCACACGTAGATCCAGATCTAATTGACCACGTACATGGATATAATAGAAAGTGGCGAAAAAAAAAAATTAAAAAAATCTTACCAAGGCTGTGTGGACTTTGATGGTTGTCAGGTTGTGTAAAAATTTTCATTGACTAAAGCCTTTTGTTGACTAAAGCCTTATTTTCATTTCCTTGATTCTTCCCCAACTAAAAAATTTATATAGTAAAAAAACAAAAATCTAATATTTATGGGTGTCTTTAAAATTTGAGGCACCACTTCAAAATGTCTTTGGAAGACACTTTAGAAGGGGTGTCTCAGATTTTAAAAACACCCTTAATTTTCTAAACTATATATTTCTTTTATTACAAGACACCCATCAAAATTTGTGTGATGGAGATGGTCTTATATAACACTAACACTTAGTTCATATTTTTTGCATGAATAAAATATGGGTATAGCAGTATAATTTATAACATAAAAAAAAACACGTTTTTCATGTTATATATATATATATATATATATATATATGTGTAAAATTTGATGCTCTTCTTCTTTTACTTATTATTTTATTAACATCTGATCCAAAGAAGAAGCCTTGTGTAAAACATTTTTCAAACGTTGAAATTTAGGTAATTTGATCAAAATAATAATAATCTTTAGATGGAAGACTAAAATAATGAAGTTTTGACAAAGAAATATTTTCTTTATAGCGTAAAATTAAGTATTAACGGTCAAGTAAACGCATAAGACATGCATGATGCTATTTTGAGCATTTTCCAAAAATAAAATGAGAACGTGATTATGAAGACTCCATGCCGTGGAGTTTTCATGGAGTCTTCATGAAGATTCCATGCCGTAAAAAAAAAAAAAAAAAAAAAAAAAAAAGACTCCATGCCGTATTACATTTATAGAAATTTTGAGGAAAACCAAATTACAAACAGAAGTCATTAAAAAGTCACCTACGGCTAATGCTACTCATGTTTTAATTTAGTGACTTTTTGTTAAATTATTTTAAAAATTAAAAATTAAGTATCACATACATAAATGATACTAATATATAGAAGAAGAAAAAAACTTTTGATTGTCCCGATATCAAATGTATATTATACGTCCATACAAAAAACTATTGTAAAAAGTGGGAAATCAATTTTTATAATATCTATGGTTATAGATTTGCTTTTTAGATTGTCGCCATATAGGATGAGGTTTTGTAAATTTAGCCGATGTTTTAAATTACAAATTACGATTTTGATCGTCAAGAGAACCCATAACAACATGAAACGTCGTGATATTGCATCTCATTAATAGACAATGTAAATTATGTAATCATAGTGTTTCCGAACTTGTTAGATAAATTGGTTTTAACTAGTATTTATTTTGGTTATACTCTGCCTAGTATATATTTCAATTTTCTTTATTTATAAAAAATAATTTATATATATAATTTATAAAAAATAATATATATATATATATATATATATATATATATCTTTTTGTTATTCAGATGTTTTGCAATTCTGTTTGAAATATTATGTTTGTTCTACTGGTGCACTGTTTCATAATTCAACTATTTCGATATTCATTACTCATTAGACATGCTAGTCAAACTCATAATACTGTTAACGGAACCTATATTTGAAAAGAAATTTCAACATAAATTTTATCTAGACCAAAGGAAAAAGGAGAAAAGTTATTTGACAACATGTTCTAATTTTTAAAAGGGATATCATATCATATTTTATTCAGATCAATGAACAAACTTTATTGTTATTTATATATGAGATAAAATACCATATGCAACATGGTACTATAAATATAACAGTAGATTCAAACTTTAAATAACATGTTATGGTCTTGAGATATCTGGAAATGACACATTATATATTCTGAATATTTTTCTTTTTGAATAAATGTATATTCTCTTTTTTTTAAGAACTATGTATACTTTGGAGGTAAAACAAAAAAAAAAATGTATGAGAGAAATGTCTCATATATAGCTCTACAATATCTTATTTTTCAGCAACAATTAATTAGGCATAATATTATCTTTTCCTAGCTAGTTGTGATATTTTAATCTACAAAATGTAGTAAGTAGATGCTGACACTACACAATAATTTTTCGTATATGTTCTCCTCTCCAAAACATGCAATATGGTGTAATTATCTATTTATTTATTGTCCTGAATGGGATTGTTAGTGCATGAGACATGTGAACACATGAAACTCCAATCATATTAATTTATCA